AACTACAAAAAATTAGCTGGGCATGGTGGCACGTGCCTGTAATCCCAGCTACTTTTTTGTAGTTTTAGTAGAGACGGGGTTTCACCATGTTGACCAGGATGGTCTCGATCTCTTGACCTCGTGATCCACCAGCCTCGGCCTCCCAAAGTGCTGGGATTACAGGCTTGAGCCACCGCGCCCGGCCCCCAACATTGTCTTTTTAAGATGGAGTTTCACTTGTCACCCAGGCTGCAGTGCAATGGCACGATCTTGGCTCACTGCAACCTCCGCCTCCCGGGCGCCAATGATTCTCCTGCCTCAGCCTCCCGAGTAGCTGGGATTACAGGCACGCACCACTAACATTTGGCTCATTTTTGTATTTTTAGCAGAGTGAGGTTTTACCATGTTGGGCAGGCTGGTCTTGAATTCCTGACCTCAAATGATCCACCAGCCTTAGCCTCCCAAAGTGCTGGGAATACATGTGAGCCACCGTGCCAGGCCTCTTACTGTTAAAGACTTTTTAAAAAACTGAACTATGACATATAGGTAGAAAAGTACACACATCACAGCTTGATGAAAAGTCTACAGCCTGAATGCATCCAGCTCCCAGATGAAGAAATGAGACATTCCCAAGTCCTCAGAAGCCCCCACTTGTTCCCTCCAGCCTCTTCTGGCCCCACGGGTCACTGCTGCCCTGACTGACACTGTGGATTTGCTGGGTCTACTTGTGCTTCATGTTCAAGAACTCCTATAGCCCAGGCTTTTTTGGTGTCAGATTTCCTTTCCTTAACATTATGTTTGCCTTTACCTGATCTTCAGAAGATGATACTTTCACCAGGTTGGCTCATGCCTGTGATCCCAGCACTTTGGGAGGCCAAGGCAGGCAGATCACCTGAGGTCAGGAGATTGAGACCAGCCTGGCCAACATGGGAAAACCTTGTCTCTACTGAAAATACAAAAATTAGCCAGGCCTAATGGAGGGCGCCTGAAATTCCAGCTACTTGGGAGTCTGAGGCAGGAGAACAGCTTGAATCCAGGAGGCAAAAGTTGCAGTGAGCCGAGATCATGCCACTGTACTAAAAAATAAAAACTCCAAAAAACAAAAAAAACACGAATACATAAAAACAAAAAGATGACACTTTGACTTAGATATCTGGCCCTAAATGAAGCAATCAGCATGTTTCTCCCAGAGTCTGAATTTAATCTGAATTTTATCAAAGGGCTGTGCTGTTAGAACCCACTGGCTCTGCATGCTGGCCTCACACCCTGGGCAAGAGGAGAGCTGTGGGGAACGGCGCTATCTAACAAGGTGTTCATGGAGGGGGGAGACCTCCCTCTCATGCAGGGTCCCTTTGGCTGGATGCTCTGAGACCCTGCTCTCAGCAATGCTGTATAAAAATACAGCATTTTATTTTTATTTTTCATTTTTTAGAGACAGATTCTTACTCCATTATCCAGGCTGGAGGGCAGTGGCATAATCATGGCTCTCTGCAGCCTTGAACTCCTGGGCGCAAGCGATTCTCCTGCCTCAGCCCTCCAAGTAGCTGGGACTACAGATGCACATCACTGCGGTAAGTGATGCTGTATTTTTCAGATCACAGATTCCGACATGCTTGAGACAGATCGTGTTTCATTCCTGTATGCTTGCTGGGGGGCTCACAGCTGATCTGCAGCCCATTCCTACAAGCACCCCGCGCCTCACCACGTGGTCACGACATGCCTCATGGATATCGATCTCATCCCTGCATCCTCCTCCTCCTCCTGCCTCCGCCAGCTCTATTAAGGTGTAACTGACAAATAAAAAGTGTGCATATTTGCAGCACCCGAGGTGATGCTTTGGTAGACGCATACATTGTGAAATGACTAAATCAAGCTGATTAACGTATGCATCATCTCATACACTTATCTTTTGTGTGTGCGTGGTGAGAACGGGAGTAGCTAGGACCACAGGTGCAAGCCACTGCACCCAGCCACGGTGGGAACATTTAGGATCTCATCTCTTGGCAATTTCAGGTATGCAATGATGCACGATCATTAACTGTATCACCACATTGTACAACAGTTCTTCAGAAGTTATGCATCCTGACTTGCATTCATCTTGGTTTTTAAACCCGTTTACCACCTCCCCTATGGATGTTTTTTATCCAATTGAATAGCAACTGGCTCAAACTCTCAGGAAGGTGGAAGCAGGGTACACACAAACAGATACATGTGGAAAACCACTGCTATTAGACCACACGACCTCTGGCACTGGGTTTTGGAATCAACACCCAACCAGTGGTGTCTCAGAATGGGGCTTCACAAACCTTAATGTGGACTCATACCATCTGGGGATCTTGCTAGGGCACTGACTTTGAGTGAGTAGGTTTGAGACGGGCCTGAGGTGCTGTGTTTTTAAGTAAGCCCAATGCTGCTGGTTCTTTTTTTTTTTTGAGATGGAGTTTGACTCTGTCACCCAGGCTGGAGGGCAGTGGGGCGATCTCGGCTCACTGCAATCTCCGCCTCCTGGGTTCAAGTGATCCTCCTGCCTCAGCCTCCTGAGTAGCTGGGATAACAGGTGTGCACCACCATGCCCGGCTAATTTTTGTATTTAATTTAGTAGAGATGGAGTTCCATCATGTTGACCAGGCTTGTCTTGAACTTCCGACCTCAGGTGATCTGCCTGCCTGGGCCTCCCAAAGTGCTGGGACTGCAGGCGTGAGTCACCGTACCCAGCCAAAAATCATGAAGAACCTTTACATTTCCAGAACCGTTTCTGCCTCAGGTTTCTCACTATCACCTTGTTAATTCCATCTGATGGCATACAATCCTCATTCCCAAAGAGACAAACAAAGCCAAAATGACAGATTTCTGGGATGACGGAACAGGGACCGCCTAGGAGATCTATTTCCACCAGCTCTTAACTAGAATGTGTTTTGTTACCTAGCATTTCCCTACCCATCAGTTAAGATTGGTTACTTACTTCATCAGGGAGCTCAAGGATAGTAATATTTTTGGAACGAAATGTGATTTCAAAAGTGATCACCAGGGTTGCATTTAATGGTGGCCTGTGGAGGACAAGAGTCTAATTACTGCTGAGAAGCAGAGGCAGTGAGAGCTCAACCAACCCTCTGGATTTCACATCTGGCCTTCCAATCTCATGCAATCGGGTTTAGGAAATGCTACGTGCTCCACCCGAGGGATAGCCGGGTGGAAATCCTGCTTCATAGGCTTTCCTGTCTTAACCAGGAGACCAGATGTCCGTCCCTTCAGGGTAGGGTGAGAACACAGAAGAAAGCAAACGTGGTGTAATGACAAATGAGGCCTCTGGAGGCCGGGGACTGTGGCTCCCTGCTCCGGTGGGAAAGGCTTCCCGGGGGGTGTGGGTTCCTAGCAGGGCCCTGTGTGAGGACCAGCATTAGACTGGAGGAGGAGAGGGCTCAGGCAAGGCGTGAGGAGGGAGCAGTGCGTGCCTGGAACGCTGGGATAGGCATCTGACTGCAGAAGGCTGGGAGCCCCTCCTGGGCCCCGGCTCTGGGGTGAGGAGCTTGGAGTTAATTTGGAAGACAGCGAGAGGCCTCTCGGCGGTCTGGAGAGTTGTGGTAAGAGGGTGACTTGTGACGTTTGCAGGGGAGGAGGTGCAGAGACAGGAGGAGGTACGGGTGGGAAGGGCAGGCTGGCTAGGGGTTTGGTTTCAGGTCAGACCTGGCAGGAGAGGCGAGGCAGGGGGAGAGGCATAGAGAGAGGACAGGACTCTAGGTCTTCATCAGGGAATCCTCACAGCCGGGAGGCAAGGACAGGGCAAAGCAGCTGAGAGCAGAGAAGGCAGAGGCAGACTCCTGGTGCCGACCGGCCTAGGTTGCGACGCTTGTGCCCCAGCCAGCAGAAAGCAGCGCGTGAGACTCCCACACCAGGCCCAGCGTGAGCGGCGTCACCCGACGCGGCCACTTCTGCTTTGGAGAGCAACCTCAGAAGTGCCGTCCAGCAGCTCAGCCCCCTATCCCTTGACCTTTAGGAATCTCTTCAAATGTTTAGTCTCACAATCGCTTTGAAGTCTGGCATCAACTGCTGGTCATGCAGGACTCTTCCCACGCAGGGAAAGGACCCACGTGTCTGGGAGAAGCGCCCCTTCCTTCTCCTCCCAGGGGAAGTGAGGATTCAGGCTGGGGTCAGCCTTTGCGATCGCACCCTGCGGCCCAGAGCTGCCACTATCCCTTTCTCTACGGCTTGTCTCACAGGTAAGAGGCAAGAGCAGCACATCTGAAATCGGAACAGACTGGCCAGGGGTCAACCCTGACCCAGCTGTGGGGTCTGAGCAGGGCTGAGCGCAGCGCCAGGCCTGGGAACTTACCGCAGGGCGACACTGATGTTGGTTGAGCTGCCATTTTCCAGCTTTACAACGGGAGGAACGGTGAGGCTGACAGTTGACTCTGGAAGGACCCAAATCAATGACATGAGGCGCCAGGTCAGAGCTTGGGCCATGACAGGCCACTGGGGCGAAATCCCCGACATCTGAACGCCTGAGCGCGGACTCCCTGACGAGCTGTATTCCGTGATGGGCCGGCTAACACAGGCCCTGGTGAGGTTCTTTCCCCACCTGCTGCCAGAGACAGGCAGAAGCACTCCAGCTGGGGCAACAGAGTGAGACTGTGTCCCAAAAAAAAAAAAAAAATTTGTTTTGTAGAGATGGGGTCTTAGTATGTCACTCAGGCTGGTGTCAAACTCCTGTGCCCAAGTGATCCTCCCTCTTTGGCCTCCCAAAGTGTTGGGATTACAGGTGTGAGGAAACGCCGGGGCCACCTCCTCCCCTTGCAAGGACAGGCTCTGAGAGTCTGCGGCTGAGTTACTCAGAGATCGTTAGAGAACATGGAGCCCAAGAATCACCACAAAGGAATCCACGCATGATCTGGAATGTAAAAGGCAGCCCTGAACCACCTCTTCAGATGGAAAGCGCAGGATCTCCTCTGTTCATGATGTCAAAATGGCCCTGAAGAACCGGGCCAACCCCTTTCCTGCACGCGCAGACACACACACAGGCCCAGCTAATGAGTTTCTAAGGAACCCTCTGGGCTCCCTGACTCGCCCAGCTCCCCGGCTCTGGACCCTTCCTGAGGCTATCTGTGCGGGCGCTGGAGAAGGAAGGGTGAATGAATAGCTGTTTCAGTCTCAGATTTCTTCTTGGCGGCCGGGCGCGGTGGCTCTGGCCTGTAATCCTAGCACTTTGGGAGGCCGAGGTGGGTGGATCACCTGAGGTCAGGAGTTCAAGACCAGCCTGGCCATCATGGTGAAACCCCACCTTTTAAAAAAAAAAAAAAAAAAAAAAATCTCTTCTTGGCTTTAAGGTGTTATCTCAGAATAAAGATGACAAACAGGCCCCCAGATGAGGGGGAAGCAGGTCTGGGGCTTAGAGAACCATCCTGGGGCCGGGCACGGTGGCTCAGGCTTGTAAACCCAGCACTTTGGAAGACCAAGGTGAGAGATCACGGGAGCCCAGGGGTTGGGAGACCCTGTCCCTACAAAAGATTTTCTTAAAAAAAGAAAGCAAATCATCTTTTGAGGCCAGCTCGCCCGGAGCACCTTGGTGGCAGGACTGAGTCAGCCTCTCTGACCTTCCTGTATTCTTAGGGCAGCCCCGTCCCCGCCCCTGCTCCCCAGCGTGCTGGAGGCCCCGCACCACACCTGCCCATCTCACCTCCCCCACCTGCCCGCCTTCAGGGTTACACACAGCCTAGAGGTCATGATCATGATCCAGGCCGAGCGGGGAAGCAGGCGCAGGGCTGTGATGAAGAGGATACCTGTCACGGCAGAGGCTGCTAGCAGGCCCGGCTGTCGCCCACCCAGACCCCTGCACTCAGACCCCTCAAAGGCAGATGAGTTGGGATCTGAAATTTTACATGCTTGGGTTGGAAGGAAACTTTTTTTCCCCCAAGACAGAGTCTTGCTCTGTCGCCCAGGTTGGAGTGCAGTGGCACGATCTTTGCTCACTGCAACCTCCGCCTCCTGGGTTCAAGTGATTCTCCTGTCTCAGCCTCCCCAGTAGCTGCGATTACAGGCATGCAGCACCACACTGGCTAATTTTTGTATTTTCAGTAGAGACGGGGTTTCACCATGTTGGCCAGGCTGGTCTCCAACTCCTGACCTCAGGTGATCTGCTCGCCTCTGCCTCCTTTGGGAGGCTGTGCCCAGCCCAGAAGGAAACTTAGTTACCCAGTTCGACCTCTGATTCTCCGCCTCAGTATTCCTACTTGGTAGTTTCTCTTCTGTAACCCGACCTCCTCTGAGATCACAGGCTGCAACTTGCCCTCCCAGGCCAGGCTCTGCTACACCGAGCCTCTCAGACTCTGAGAGCTGCCTTCTCTGTACTCAGCACACCGGAATGCAGATGCAAGCTCGGTCCCAAGCCTGCAGGTCCCTAGGTGGAGACTCCCACAGGCCCCCATCTCCAGCTGGCTGGGCTCCTCAGAACATGATGCCCTCCGGCCCTTGCGGGAGCCAAGCTGCTATAGGGGCAAAAGGCGGGCCCTTCCTCACGTGGAGCCTCAGGGCCTGGAGGCTGCTGTGGCAACCATACCCTTCTTTTTTAGGCTCACTGCTCTGAGGTCATTCTGAGGCTTTCTTAGGGGCTTGCATAGCTGGGGTGGTGCAGGACTTCCTGTACTGCCAGTTCAGTTCTGCCCAGAGCTGAGGACTGTGCCAGATAAGCCAGTCCAGAACCAGCCACTGCTCAGGACGGGATGCTGAAAGGGATGCCAGGCAGCCAACCAGACCTCTGGATCCCGAGGGCTCTGCTGGAGGCAGTGGAGGTCTGGGTGAGCAGGAGATCCACATGGCCACAGAGCTCCTACGATCTGTGCATTATAAAACAGGAGGTTGTGGGCAGTGGCTCACACCTGTAATCCCAGCACTTTGGGAGGCTGAGGCAGGTGGATCACCTGAGGTCAGGAGTTTGAGTCCAGACTGGCCAACATGGCAAAACCCCATCTCTACTAAAAATACAAAAAATTAGCCAGGCCTGGTGGCAGGTGCCTGCAATCCCAGCTACCGCAGAGGCTGAGGCAGGAGAATCGCTTGAACCCAGGAGGTGGAGGTTGCAGTCAGCCAAGATCACACCACTGCACTCCAGCCTGGGAGACAGAGCGAGACTCTGTCTTAACAACAAAATAAAATACAGTAAGAGTTTGTGAACTCTCCAAGAACCAGATCAGAGAATGTTCATTTCCCCCTTCTTTAGCACCACAGAAAACTGAGGTGCTCAGCAACTGAGATACTGGGCTCCAAAGTCACACAGTTCCATCCTGGCTCTGACACTTCCTAGCTGTGTGACCATGGGTAAGGTACTTACCCTCTCTGAGCCTCCATTTCCTTATCTGTAAAATGGGGAGACTACCAAGCCCTATCTCAGAGTCACTGTGAAGATAAGATGCAGCAATGCTGGTGACGAGTTTTCCACAGCCCAGATGCTAAATACTTGTTGCCATTATATCATCACATGACCACTGCAGGGCATTCTTACAAGGTGGGAGGCAGTTAGGAAGCTGGCCCCAGAAACTCTGAAATCTTCACATTGTAGCAGAATTACAAAATGAGTCATGACACCATCCTAAGTTCCCCCTAAAGAGAATCTGTTTTTCATTTTTTTTTTTTTTTGGAGACAGGTCTGGCTCTGTTACTCAGTCTGGAATCCAGTGGTGACCTGGAATGATCATGGCTCACTGCAGCCTCAACCTCCCAGGCTCAAGTGATCCTCCCACCTCAGCCACCCAAGTAGCTAGGACCACAGGCATGTGCCACCATGCCCAGCTAATTAAAAAAAGAAATTTGGGCCAGGCATGGTGGCTCATGCCTATAAACCCAGCACTTTGGGAGGCCAAGGCAGGGATACCACTTGAGGTCAGGAGTTTGAGAGCAACCTGGCCAACATGATAAAATTCTGTCTCTACTAAAAATACAAAATTAGCCAGGTGTGGTGGCACATGCCTGTAACACCAGCTACTTGGGAGGCTGAGGCACAAGAATCGCTTGAACCCAGGAGGCCGAGGTTGCAGTGAGCTCCAGCCTGGGTAACAAGAGCGAAACTCTGTCTCAAAAAAAAAAAAAAATCTTTTTTTTTTTTTTTTTTTTGGTAGAGATGGGGTCTCACTCAGGCTGGCGTCAAACTCCTGTGCCCAAGTGATCCTCCCTCTTTGGCCTCCCAAAGTATGGGAATTACAGGTGTGAGCCACCGTGCTTGGCCAGGTTTTTAAAATTAATTCTTACAGGCCTCTCGCCCACCCTGCACCTCCTGTACCAGCCCCGTGCTACACTCCTAGCTCCCATTTTCTAATTGTTACAACAGTGAGAAGCAGGCATTATTATAGGTATTGATCGACTTATGACCTATGCAACTTACGACCATTCGACTTTACGACCACAATCGCTAGCCACGACTGTTCTGCGTCTGGCAGCACAAACGTTGCCCAGCTGGGCGTACGACAGCGCGGACCAGCTTCCGGCAGCACTACCATCTCTGCGTGCATATAGCCTACTCAACTTATGACCAAATCGTGTTACGACCGGTCTGTCGGAACCAATCATGGTCGTAAGTCGAGCACTAGCTGTATTCCTATTTCAGATTTCGGGAAACTGAGCATTCTAAGAGGAAAGGAGTCTTACCCACACAGCTTGAAAATCGTGAGGGCAGGACTCAAACCTAGGCCTGTCTAGTCCAAAGCCCAGCTTTTGCCATGAGGCTGCACTGCCCCAAGATTCCACCCAGAGAAGTCAGAGACAGACAATTCTGAAGGCCAGTCATCTGACCTGTGGTCCTTAACCATTACTCCCCGAAGCAAAAAGAAAGAAACAGCAAGGGCAGAATGAGGTTGGAAATCCAGTTCCCGTGACTTGATTTGATGGTGGCTTCCATTCTTCTGTTTCTTTTCTGAGATGGAGTCTAACTCTGTTGCCCAGGCTGGAGTGCAGTAACGCGATCTCGGCTTACTGCAACCTCCACCTCCTGGGTTCTCCTGCCTCAGCCACCAGGCATGCACCACCATGTCCAGCTAATTTTCTATCTGTAGTACAGATGGGGTTTCGCCCTGCTGGCCAGGCTGGTCTCAAACTCCTGACCTCAGGTGATCCACTGACCTCGGCTTCCCTAAGTGTTGGGATTACAGGCGTGAGCCACCGCGCCCTGCGCATTCTTCTTTTCTAATGGCATTCAGGAAAGGAGGCAAAGTGATCTCATGCAGCACAGATCCTATGCGGGTCCCAGCTTTGTTACTTTCAAGCTGTGTGACTTGGGAAAGCCTTCTACCCTCTCTGGGCCTGTTTCCCCTTGGAGTAACTGGGGTGGTGGTAGCTAGATTTTCTGTTTTCTCTTAGGGGAGGGTATGAGATTACTAATGGGGCTTTAAAGTGTGTGTGTGTACATCCGGGGGACACAGACACACTCCAGCCCCAGTGTCACAAAGTCTGATCCAGCAGGGTGGTGACAGGGTTCTGACACTGACATCTGCATTGAGAAACACCGGGCTCCAGGGGCTGAAGGACCTCCTTTTCCCGGAAATTGCTTATCCGAAAGGTGTGACAACAGACAAACATTACTGACTGTTCAACAAACCCGGAAGAGATGATGAGGTGGCCACTGTTTCCTGAGGTTCAAGACGCCAGATAACAGCGGGGTCTAGGCTCTGGGGAGGATTTGCACTGTCTGTCAAGGTTCACTTGATATGGGAATTTAAGGTGTATCTCATTTTTTGTATTTGACCCAACAGGCAAGCTGAGGATCAAATTAATGGGCCCAGTGCCCTTGAAGTGCTAAACATGGCTCTTTCCGGAAGGAATTCCAGAGATGTTTTGGGCAGTGGGAGAATTGCTAGGAGGGCACGGGCCTCAAAAGGGCCAGCGCTGAAGGTCAGTCCTCCTACGAGGATGTGTAAACTCCATCCCAAGTGTGCTCCACGTGACCCCTACCCCTGCTGGGCTGCTGCGCCCTGTTCCTCAGCCCCTCTCTAAGGGAAAAGTTTTCTCATCTTACAGGGGGATGCCGGGCAGACTCCCCAGGTGATCTGTGCCACCTCTTCTTCTTCCCTGGTGTTTCCCAGGACCCAGGACTCTCTCTGTGAGGTCCACAGGGCAGGGGTGCAGCCATTCTTCTTCTTCTTTTTTTTTTTTTTAAAGTCAGGATCTCACTGTGTTACCCAGGCAGGAGTACAGTGGTGTGATTATAACTCACCATAGCCTTGAATTCCTGGGCTCAGGTGATCTTCCTGCCTCAGCCTCCCAAGTAGCTAGGACTACAGGCACAAGCCACCACACACAGCTAATTTTTTTTTACAAATTTTTTTTTGTAGACGTGGGGTTTCACTATGTTGCCCAGGTTGGTCTCAAACTCCTGGCCCCAACAGATCTTCCTGCCTCGGCCTCCCAAAGCTGTGGTATTACAGGTGTGAGCCAGTGCTGTAGCCTCAGCCGTTCTTTAAGACATTACCTCAGGTTGTTGGCCTCTGTAGTTTGACTCTGAGAATTAGCTGCATGGTCTGACTCTGAGAACCACCTGTTCACTTTGATGATACAGCAAAAGCACAGAGATACCAGGGCAGGCCACTTATTTGTGGGACCATCTGCCTCTTTGGGAAACACCTGGGTCTCAGACCTGGGTCTGCCCCACCACCCCAGTGGCCACGTGGCCGAAGGGCAGACAGAGACACATGGTCTGCATGCTACTAAATCCTTAGCAACAAACAGGTCAGACTACTCCTTTCTCCAGCCACCATTTCCCTCTTTACAAAGTTGACATGCCATTTCTAAACTTACCACATTTCTCTATGAGCTTCAGGGGAAAAAGGATAAAAATAGTCAGCCAATTCCTTGTCATGTTTCCCGATTTCTCAGAACTAGGAAGAAAAATAGCAAGAGAGAAGTTCACATGACTATTGAATCAGCTCAGCTCCCTGTAGAAAATCTGCCCTCTGGAGCCATGGCATGGGACAGCTCATAAAGGACTCCCACGTCACTGCCCTGACCTCACGGCCTTTGCATCACAGCCTCAGAAGGACACCTACAGATGACTTATCTTTCTTTGCTATACAGGGAAGCAGGCTCGGAGCGGCCGAATGGGTTGTGTAAAGTGCCCTCCTGAGGAAGTGAACACAGACCTGAATTTTCCCCTCTTCAACTGCTTTTTGCTGCTTAGCAGAAAGAAACAATGCGGTTTTACCGGCTTGAGATTCCTTTCCTCCAAAAGTTATTAAAATTGTGGTCAGATATTTGACCTTGTGAACCTACCAATCTCAAGAAAATCAATTTCCTTTCCTTTCCTTCTAGATAAGAGTCTAAGGGCTGATGATATCAACTGACCCTTAAGACTTAAAAAAAAAAATTTCTTTTTTGAGACAGAGTTTCGTTCTTGTTGCCCAGGCTGGAGTGTAGTGGCACCATCTTGGTTCACTGTAACCTCTGCCTCCTGGGTTCAAGCCATTCTCCTGCTTCAGCCTCCTGAGTACCTGGGATTAGAGGCATGTGCCACCACATTTGGCTAATTTTGTATTTTCTGTACAGATGGGGTTTCTCCCTGTTGGCCAGGCTGGTCTTGAACTCTCGACTTCAGGCAATCTGCCCGCCTCAGCCACCCAAAGTGCTAGGACTACAGGTGTGAGCCACCATGCCCAGCAAGACTTTTTCATTTGACAAGTGTCACCATTCCCGGATTGGCTGGGGTCACCTCACGAGGAGGACTCGGGAAGGGATGAGCCCAGAGCGACTCCTTGGCTTAGCGTGGAAGATGGGGTGCTGCATTCCTGTATCCCCAACACACAGCAGGCGAACTGTGAGTCAACAGCAGGCAGGCCAGCATGGATTTCTGTAGCTCAGTCTCTGCGCTGCCTCGGCACACAGTGCTCAGGTCCTCCCACTCTGACAGCCTCCCAGGGCTCCTGCAAACCAGCCTGGTCAACATGGTGAAACCCCATCTCTACTAAAAATACAAAAATTAGCCAGGTGTGGTGGTGTTTGCCTGTAATCCCAGCTACTCGGGAGACTGAGGCAGGAGAATCGCTTAAACCCGGGAGGCAGAGGTTGCAGTGAGCCAAGATAGTGCCATTACACTCCAGCCTGGGCAACAAGAGTGAAACTCTGTTTCAAATTAAAAAAAAAAAAAAAAAAATCAGATTGATAATGACATACAAGTAGTGGCTTGTGAAAGCTACAAGACAGAAATAAAGCATCTCTTGACCACAGACTCTGTCTGGCACGCTCTTCCTGTGTAAGTTCTAACTGTCTCCCAAGCCTCATTTGGATGTCACATGTTTCAAGAAGCCCCTCACCCATTCAGTCCCTTCCCAGGAGCAGCCTGGGGCTGGGGGTGTCCTGTGGCAGCTCTCCTCTGCCAAGGTATGAGTTGTTGGTCCTGTCCTCTGTTCTACCATCGGGAACTCCCTGGGTCTCCTGCTTCTGGAGAGGGTATACAGGTAGTGGTTAAGGGCTGTGTGCACTGGAGACACGCTTGAACCTGGGTTCCAATTTATTAGTTATGTAACCTTGCGGGGGTAAACAGGGACGGTGGTAACTACCTCATAGGACTTAAATGAGGAGATATAAAGCACGCATTGTCAAGTGAGACTCAAATTGGCTGGGGATGGGTTGGGCACCGTGGCTCACGCCTGTAATCCCAGCACCTTGGGAGGCCAAGGCGGACGGATCACCTGAGGTCAGGAGTTTGAGACCAGACTGGCCACCATGGTGAAACCCCGTCGCTACTAAAAATACAAAAATTAGCTGATCATGGTGGCACACGCCTGTAGTCCCAGCTCCTCGAGAGGGTGAGGTAGCAGAATCACTTGAACCCGGGAGGCGGAGGTTGCAGTGAGCTCAGATGGAGCCACTGCAGTCCAGCCTGGGCAAGAGGCTGGAAACTCCATCTCAGAAAAAAAAAAAAAAAAAAAAAAAAAAAGGAAAAAAAAGAAGGGAGAGGGGGGAGGGGGTGGTGAAAACAGCTATTACAATGGTTTGTGGTCACATAAAAAAATACAGGGTGTACCAGCGGTATTAAATTTTACGAGGGGGTGGGGTAGGAATAGCAAGGTTGAGAAACGATGATATAATAAAGTGGCTACCTCTGTTGCTCAGGGCGCCGAGCGAGCTCCCACAAAGCAAGGTTATCCTCCTCGCAGGTACTGGAAGAGGCAGGGCTCAGGTCCTCCCTCCGTCCAGCGTGAAAACCCGGAGGAGAGGGTAGGGTCTCGTCCCCGTGAGCCCCGCACTCCGCGCGTCCACCGGCGCTCCCGCAAAAGTCCTCGCAGCGTCTCCAAAGCAATCTGCAAGACTGAGCAGAAGGGAAGGGCTGGGGACCGCACCCACCCGGCAGCCCGCTGTCCGGGCCTCCACCGACCCCCGCCCGGGCCCTTCCAGCCGGGGCGTGTCCGGGGTCGCAAGGCCAGCACTGGTGGCGGGGAACGGAGCCCGGCGCGGCTGAGGACGCTGCACCGCGGGAGGCTGCCCTGCCGACCTGCTGCGCCCCTAGGGGCCTGCCTGGGAGACGGGGGAGGCCGCGCCCGCTCTCACCTGAGCCCCCCAGGCTGGAGGACCCGACCTCGCCGGACGCAGAAGCCTCGCCAGCTGCAGCTCCAGAAAGCGCCGCGTTCCCGGGGCCGGCCGGACTTTGGAGAGGCGGGTCCGCGGTCACCTGACCTCCGCCACCTGATTCGCCGATCGCGGCGAGGTGACCTCTGGGATTTGTAGTTTCCACGCGTCTCAGCCAGGCAGAGCGAGGCTGGGGCGGGGCGGGGTTCGGGGCTCGGGCGTGAGGCAGCATGAGGCCGCTGCCGGGGACACACACAGAGGCTCTTTGGAGCCGCCAGCGCCTCTAGGCTCCTTTAGTGAGAGGGGCTCAAACCGCGCTCCAGTGCGCGGAATTCAGAGCCTTGCGGGGCGGGGCCTCCTTTAAGTCCCGCCTTCCGCCGCCTCTCCGCCTATAGCGGGGCTCGCCTAGAGGGCTGCGTGGAAGCCCGCCTCCTCCTGCCAATGGGAAGACGAGAAACCGCCAAGTTCGATGTGACTGAAAGTTTGGCGGGCGAATCCCCGCCCCTTCCCCGCCCTCCCGGGTGAAAAGCGCGGACTGGGGTAGTGGGGCGGCTGGCTGCCTACAGGAGCTGTGCGGGTGGGGGCGACCATGGCTGCGCGGCGGATCACCCTCGGCATTGACCTGGGCACCACCTCTGTGAAGGCAGCTCTGCTGGGGGCCGTGCCCGACGATCCATCCGGATTCGAGGTGCTGGCGAGCTGTGCCCGCGCTGCGCGGGCAGAGGCGGCGGCCGAGAGCGTGGTGGCCGAGCCCCAGGTGAGGTAGCGCCCCGGGGCCGCGCCGCCTCCCGGAGCTTCCTGAACGCCTCTTCCTCCCCAGGAGGTCTCCCTCACAGCCCTTCCCTCCAAGAAGTCTCCATTCCAGCCTGTCCCCAGCTTCTCCAGGGGCCCCTCTCCCTGTGCCTGCTGCAGCTTTGCCATTATCCCTGCGGTCTGCCCCCGGAATCCTTCCCACCTGCTGGGACCTAACCACCTCCCCGCCGCCGGGCTCCTCCGGACCCTTGCGCTTGGCGCTGGATCCCGGTGCTCTCCTGTCCCCGACCTCGGAGGAACTGCCCCCCTGTGTGTGGAATGACACAGGCCTCCCTCTCACTCGGTGCTCTCTGCTCCTCACACCTGCCCTGTGACCTCAAGTTCAGGACTCAGTGTGTTGCCCAGGGCAGAGTCTGTGTTTTCTTCCGGAGATCAGAGGCAGAATCAGGTTCATTTCACAGACGCAGAGTGAAGGACTAAGAAGCCCTTGGTCAGCCAAAGTCCCCCAGCCTCAAAGGCCAAGACATGTTGCAGGAAAGACACCTTAAGAGCAGATAGACATTTAAAAAAATATCTTAAAACTTTTTTAAAAAGAGTGAAGTTGATAATTATACACTACAGCTACTGGCTTGTGAAAGCTACAAGGTAGATAAATGGACGATTTCAGGATTGTGGGCTCTGCTGGGAGCTGTTGGAAGATGTTACTCTTCAGAGCTGAACCCCGTTAATTCCTTAAAAAGGAAAACTGAACTGTGTTCAGTTAATTGACAATAGAAATTAATATCAAGGGACTTTCTGTGTAACCTCATATGACTTTTTTCTGGGCCTCAGCTTGTTCTCTGAGTTGAAATAGGCAGCCCCTAAGGCCCCTTTCAGCCACAAACCTTGGTTTTCTGAGCCAAGACCCACTCCCAAGACTTTTTTTTTTTTTTGAGACCGAGTCTCCCTTTGTTGCCCAGGCTGGAGTGCAGTGGCGAGATCTCAGCTCACTGCAACCTCCTGAGTTCAAACGAATCTCCTGCCTCAGCCTCCTGAGTAGCTGGGATAACAGACATGCGTTAGCATGCCTGGCCAAGTTTTGTATTTTTAGCAGAGACGGGGTTTCACCATGTTGGCCAGGCTTGTCTCCAACTCCTGACCTCAGGTGATCCGCCTGCCTCTGCCTCCCAAAGTGCTGGGATTACAGATGTGCCTCACCACGTGGGGCTAATTTTTGTATTTTTAGCAGAGACAGGGTATCACCATGTTGGCCAGTCTGGCCTCAAACTCCTGACCTCAAGTGGTCTGCCCACCCCAGCCTCCCAAAGTGCTGGATTACAGGCACGAGCCACCTCACCCAACAGAGCTTTGTTTTTGCCAATCTCTTGCCCCATACCTGGACACAGTTTAGGGTTCAGAGCCCATTAGGCTTAATGCCCATTAAGCATTCCTGAGGATATGGATTTAGGAGCACTTTGTATTTACATAGAAGCTTTCAAAATGAGTCTGGTTGGGGCATCAGGGCATACTAGAAGGATTCTCAAAGAACTATAAATTGGAGGCAAAGTTGGCTCTGACCCTGGCGGGGTGAGCAGGAGAGCTGGGATTTAGGGGAGAGTAGGCTTAGGCAGTGCCCCTTTCTTAAAATAAGGCAACTTTTTTTTTTCTTTTTTTGAGACAGGATCTCAATCTGTCACCCAGGCTGGAGTGCAGTGGTGCAATCTCTGCTCACTGCAGCCTGTGCCTCCTGGGTTCAAGTGATTCTCGTGCCTCAGCCTCCAGAGTAGCTGGGACTGCAGGTGTGCACCACCACGCATGGCGATTTTTTTGTGTTTTTCATAGAGATGGGGTTTCACCCAGTTGGCCAGGCTGGTCTTGAACTCCTGACCTCAAGTGACCCGCCCACCTTAGCCTCCCAAAGTGCTAGGATTACAGATGTGAGTCACCCTTCCCAGCATGGCCACTTCTTGAAAAGGACTTTTCTGCAGTCCTCCGCACTCCCCACCCCCGGCTTTCAGCAGACTGTTCTGTGCTTACTGGCTCACCTGTGCCACACCTGCCTAATGAAATGGCTTAGAGGCCAGTCATTACCCCGCCCTCACCCCACCTAGGAACCGTGCTCTGGGATGAACAGCACTACTGTGATTTAGTCTGCAGCAGGATAGGGTTTCTCAACCTTAGCGCTGCTGACTTTCTGGGCTGCGCAGTTTCTATTGTGGTGAGAGGTGTCCTGGGCACTGCAGAATGTTTAGCAGCATCCCTGGCCACATTAGATGCTGGCCACACTTGCCCGTCTTCCCCAGATGTGACAACCAATGTCTCCATGTTGTCAAATGTTCCCGAGGTGACAGAACCACTTGGAGTGGGAACCACTGATGTACAGTAACACCTGTAGCGGGGTGAGCCTGTAATCCCAGCACTTTGGGAGGCCCAGGTGGGTGGATCACTTGAGTCTGGGAGTTTGAGAACAGCCTGGCTAACATGGCAAAACCCCATCTGTACTAAAAATATAAAAATTAGCCAGGTGTGGTGACACATCTGTAATCCCAGCTACTCAGGAGAGCGAGGCGGGAGAATTGTTTGAACTCAGGAGGTGGAGGTTGCAGTGAGTCGAGATCATGCCACTGCACTCCAGTCTGGGCAACAGAACAAGACTCTGTCTCCAAAAAAAAAAAAAAAGGATTAAATGAGATAGTGTATATTTTTTGTCATATTGCAATCTGGTGTGTGTGTTTTACATTTACGTCTCGGTTCAGACTAGCCACGTGTGGCTTAAGTTTTCGGTATTGGACCGTGCGGGTCTAAACAAATGTCTCTTCCCAGAACCTTTCTTCTTCACCCACACCCCCATGTCCCCACCCTGCCCTTCTTTCCTCCTTCTGGGGATCCCCATAGTCACCTGGCTTCTCTCACCCCCGTGTCCCCACCCTGCTCTCCCCTCCTTCTGGGGATCCCTGTAGCCACCTGGCTCCTCTCACCCCCATGTCCCCACCCTGCTCTTCTTTCCTCCTTCTGGGGATCCTGCGTAGCCACCTGGCTCCTCTGCCTTAGTCTTTCACTTCCTCTTGGCTGTGCTCTCCGTTGCATGTAAAATCCTTGTCGGGCTACGGGGCGGCTCCCTAGGAAAAGGCTGTGCTTCCTCTGCACTCCTTGCCCCATCCTATCCCTCCTCTACTTCCTTCTTTCTCTTCCCTTGTTCCTGCACGTTAGGAGCCAGAGCTGCCCTGACCAAGGCCAGCAGGCTAACAGGGGCAAGTGAGAGGTCTTCCCAGGAGGGGAACGCAGCCTCCCTGCAGGGAAGTGAGAGGTCTGAGAACTCCACCTTTGGATGCCTTTTCCAACTGAGCTTTGCGAATTCCTCAAAGAGCTGACATTTCTTGAGATCTGGGTCACAACTCTCTTCCTCTTCTTCTGTTCTGAGCTATCTGTGGATTCTTCTAGTTTTTTTTAAGGTGGAGTCTCGCCCTGTCCCCCAGGCTGGAGTGTGGTGGCACAATCTCAGCTCACTGCAACCTTCACCTCCCCGGTTCAAGCAGTTTTCCTGCCTCAGCCTCCTGAGTAGCTGGAATTACAGGTGTGCACCACTACCCCTTGCTAATTTTTGTACTTTCAGTAGAGACGGGGTTTCTCCATGTTTGCCAGGCTGGTCTCGAACTCCTGACCTCAGCTGATTGGCCTGCCTCAGCCTCCCAAAGTGCTGGGATTACAGGTATGAGTCACCATACCAGGCCTCTTCTAACTGTTAAGTAGAAGTTTATCTTTCAATTTTGTTACCTGAAAGGGATCCCAATCCAGACCCCAAGAGAGGGTTCTTGGATCTCGCCCATGAATTCCGGGGGAGGAGTCGGTAAAGTGAAAGCAGGTTTATTAAAGTAAAGACTTAAAGAATGCCGCCTGGGGGCCGGGCGCGGTGGCTCAAGCCTGTAATCCCAGCACTTTGGGAGGCCGAGGCGGGTGGATCACGAGGTCAAGAGATCGAGACCATCCTGGTCAACATGGTGAAACTCCGTCTCTACTAAAAATACAAAAAATTAGCTGGGCATGGTGGCACGTGCCTGTAATCCCAGCTACTCAGGAGGCTGAGGCAGGAGAATTGCCTGAACCCAGGAGGCGGAGGTTGCGGTGAGCCGAGATTGCGCCATTGCACTCCAGCCTGGGTAACAAGAGCGAAACTCCGTCTCAAAAAAAAAAAAAAAAAAAAAAAAAAAACCACAAAAAAAAAAGAATGCCGCCTGGGCAGAGCAGCCCTGAAGACCATTGGTTGCGCATTTTAATGGTTGTTTCTTGATGATATGCCAAACAAGGGGTGGAAATTCATGCCTCCCCTCTGTAGACCTTCTAGGGTAACTTCCTGACGTTTGCCTCGGCATTTGTGGGCTGTCACGGTGCTGGTGTGAGTGTAGCGGTGACAGTGACCAGCGGTCATTCTTGTTGCCATCTTGGTTTTGGTGAGTTTTGGGTGGCTCCTTTTCATCAGCAATGCGTTTATGCGTGTTGTGCTGACCTGTTTCCTTCTGTGATTCAGAATGCTTGACCGTCTAAGTCACAGAGGTGGTGCAGCCCAGCACGTCTCAGCCTCA